AACAAGCAAAAAGGTATCATTACGACGTTCAAACACCACAAGAACCCATCACAACTCTATTATTATGACCTTTGTGTTTGTCGCTTTTCTTCATATTTGCCGATTGGACTATTATCTGACCCATAAATTATTTTCTTCCTTACCCCTTGATTAGTACGTAACCTCATTTGTTCGTGGTATTCATATGTTGACTTCAAAATTTACCAATATAGTCAGTACACAGTGGCACTGAATTACCTATAAATTCAATTTCAGAATTTAGATTTTAATATGGATGTTGATTGATGTCGCATTTTAATCGTGATTAAAATGAGTGTTAGATCGTTTATTTTCTTGTTGAGCATAGCACATTCAGTAAAATTAACATATTGAGACAAGCTGCAGAAGTTTAGTTCACACGATGATTTCAAACACACGAATTCCGTCATACCGAATATTCCCTTAAATGCGAATCACGATCAAGGTGTTTGTTATGACCTTGATGTCTGGCTTTCTGTCACGCGACTTATCGACCAGTCAGAATACGACTTATACAATTTCGCACTATGCCAAACCAATGAGGTTCAACCGGTATGAGCAGTTTAGCGTCCTGATTGGTCCTATGTCCTCCTAACCCTTCCCTTGAGTCCAGAACACAATACCAGTTTCTGTAATATGAATCGAATCGAATCGAATCGTTTATTTCAGACATACTCGGTTTATATATCAATCAGACAGACCACAACGTGCCATAAAATAGAAAATAACATGTATACACAATTAAGCCCAAAAGTGGCTGTGAACGAGGGGGACAGTAATTAATAGACTGAGCATAGCTTAAGAATCGTAAATCGTACAATAATAAAATATAGGTCAAAATAAAGCTTATAATAAGAGGAATATAAATATACATAATCTAATTATTAAATAGTTTTACAATAAGAATATTTATAGAATATTAGTCCATTAATAGGCCTCGGGAGTTACTTGTAATTTAATCTTCACCGGGATATAACAGTGTTAGATGTCTCCAGGTGAGATGTTCTATGAAGAGTCACCATTACTTCAAATGAGTTACAAATGTTTAGCATTAAGAAAAGTAAGCAAATAATGGTTGCTATACTAAAAAGGCTTATGTACTGACGAAATGACTTAAAATTCTATTATTATCTGTTGTGGAGATCCAGAAAACTTCTCAAAATTAAGCCAAGAAAGGCTCTAAAAACACTGAGCAGTATCATATCCAATCAGCGTTCACTAGACGTTTTGCCAGAAACATCTAGAACGTGAGACGTCACATGTCGAGTTTCTGATTGGACGATTACTCATACTGCTACTATGTTCAGTAGCATTCCAGAATTTTCCGGAAACCCAAGGATATCTTGTGGAGATAGGTCTGAGAAGCTTATTTTGTAAATAGTTTTTAATATTATTTGTATTTGTCAATTTCTCACCGCATGTACATTTATCATTAAATGATTGTACCTGTTGTTTTAGTAAATGACCTTGAACACTTTTTCCGTTGTGACTCTAACATAGCGTGACATACCGTTGCTGGCTAACAAATACACTGCTTCTCTCACATTCCTCGTTCTATTTTCATTCGAGATTGAGTTAACTGAGATCTAAAACAAATATTATTTACATTCATAGATTGTGAGAGCGAATACACCATACCTTACTTTGGATTGCACCACTGGGGAGTTCATCGATACGTTTGGAATTACCAAGCATCTATAATTGTGGATTTATTGTACCAGATTAAAGCCGAACACGCATCATTTTGAGTGAACTTAAGTAAAGTCCCATTTTTATTGTATTTGTAACATTTAACTGATATATATTAATATTACTATTGCTTTTTATTAACTTTGTTGATACTTTTTGCGTTTATATATCGTCTGGTCCACCACAATCTAAAATATTGTAAAAACACTGGATCTTCTGTACATGAACGAACCTTTGGAGTTAGGCGTTTCTTCCAAATCTCGCGCCATTTCTCTCGTGTTCAAGTTGCTTTGTAGATCAAGCCTGGGTGTTACTAGAACAGTTTAAAAAGTGAATGTGGCGCTCAATTAAAAGAGTTACTACTATTAGATAGTCGGTCTGTTCTAGTGTGGTGTACTTCACTTATGTCGGCAGACGAGTTTTATGTAGCAACAATCAGAAGTTGAATGGCTGGCAACAGGAGACTGAGAACATCGAATTTAAGAAAACAGGAAGGGTAATATAAAGGAATTGTGAATTGGAAGAATCAGACAGAATGTAAAGGAAAATGGATGGAAGATTTGTGAATGAAGCATTTCTTGTATGGTCCTCGTATTTTACAAAGATATTCTGTAAATTTGTATTAAATAGTAAATTGGTTATCCCCACCTGAGTCTCGTCCACGACACTAGTATATAGTATTCGGTTTAGGCTTGTCTTCGTTCACTCATCAATTTAGCCATCCAAACACGAGTCTCATCATAGGTTGAACAGGGTCCCAAAGTGACGCTGTAAGTAGATAGTCCAGGATGTCAACTTTCCATACATCGCATGACAATACGGCCATGGTGTAAAATAAGAAAGTTATCGTAATAAATCTCTATCACTTCTACTCAGTTTAAATGGTATTTGTAATTTTTTAAACGGTAACACATAAAACGAAATTTATAAATCCCTCAACAAGTCATTACTCATGTAGAAAAAAATTTACACTGTCAGTTCGGTATAAAAACAAACTTAAAGTAGGAAACGTAACGGAAACAGAATTCTACATGTATGGGAGCTACAAGGTATTCGGATTCAAACCAAACACTTCTCAATGTTTGCTCTTTTATGATGATCGGTGAAGCTCGTTAATAACTAACTGCTTGACGATAGCCATAGCAATACAACTCACAGCATCAGTTGGAATAATAGTAATCATGATTTGCTCAGTAGACCAGAAGTGTTCTAAGCGACCAGTTTACAAGACGTTAGGGGTGGTCATTCAATGTATAATATTACACATATATTTAAATTATCCAAAAATACATAGATTAGACAGCCCAAAAAGCAACCTATTTCCTTTCAAAAAGCACTGCTCAGAATTAATTGACTTGGCAATTCAACTAGTTTCTCGATATCCTCCTTTACTGTCTTTCAGATTAAATATCTTATGGTTTCATGTTCTGTCACAATCAACACTGTTATTCCGACTGATTTGACATTCTTTATGGCTAGTTTCTCATCGTGATAATTCCAAATTGTGTGATTAATTGTTCAACCGTTCAACTGGTACATAATATGCAATCCAGATCAATTTCATAAATATCAGTGCTCAATCCATACTGTGGTTTAGGCAGATCAACTGCCCCTGTGTAGTTTCTGATAACTTAGTTATCGAATTGTTGATTCACACTCACTGATTGATCTCTAACAATAAATCAGCATCTTATGCAAATGCTCTAATATTGTAAACGACTAATTTCCTTGTGTTAATAATAGTAATATTTAGTGGTAATGACTCGTCAAGCAACACACCTCTTCGCGTACCCCACAGCTGATTTCGCATTATTTACTAGTCTTGTTTATTCATTTGAACACTAATGATTGAACTGATAGATTTCAATATGCGGAAATAGGCAATAGATGAACATGTAGTGTCAGTCATCATGTTAAGCCCATATACTTTATTCTAACTTTCGGACAGCCCAATCTATTCATTCTACTTGAGTCATATTTTGACCTTGTCAATTATTCGCTTATCAATCTTGACTGTTTTTTATATAAGCGCATATGTGTGTACACTTCATATCCCATGTCTTATCACATGTTTGTAGTTTATTTTGTCTGCCTATAAATATTGAGTAACGCCTGGCTAAAAATGAGTTGGCTTACCAGCCATCTCCCCTGCGCGTCATTTCGCTTTGTTCTATCGCATTCACTTTACATACAAAATATATATATTCAAAGGCCATTCTCGTTAATTGACTTATCTAAATTCCGTTATTGACTAACGTGAATTAAGTCGACAATTGTATACGAGGATAGGTGATAACAAACATTCTTACAATCTAAATGGAGTCAGATCCACGGGCCACTAAAAACACTTGAATTTAGTGAAAGAACAAACTCCATCTTTTATTCCATTACGTGTCTATAAACTTCCATGTATGTATTCTGTTTTTATCCCTTTGAATGTGCACAGTTGAAAAAAAAGGATGGAACTTTCTTCATACAAAAATTACATACATATGGCATTTCACAGTAGCATACCTTCTTGCTACTGGTCAATGCCGGGTGAAGTTCCATATGCAAATGTAAAACAAACAGGTAGAAACACACGAAAGTTTGAAAAACGTTTCTCATCTCAACTGATAATATTGAAAATGTTATTCTACTGATCACCAATATTTGGAAAGAAATAAAAAACAATAAAAATAGAAACAAATAGATTTCACAATACAAACAATTATTTAGTAAATAAAACAAGCTATGAGGAAGATTTATAATAATAATAATAACAATAATAATAATAATAATAACGATAATAGTAATACAATATTTGTAATGGGTGGAGTTCAGTTGATTTTTCATTAACTTATTTATTGAGCATGTCTCGTCTTGGAATTTCTTTGTCTGTTGTCTATACAATAATTAGTGGATTGATCGGTTTACCGATTGATATGTACTTGGAGGTTGAGGGAAGACAGAAGTATTAATAATATCAATCATAGGTATTTTACAGTGACGTGTAAACGAGGTGAATGTCTGAGAAAGTGAACGAAAGAGAGGAAGGAAGGGTTATTTCAAAAATCAATGAATCTTTTGCGTCTTTGTATCTGTGTGTGTGAGAGAGAGAGAGAAATAGCAATTGGAAGACAGAACTACGAGTACATGATGGACAACATATAAACAGTTTGCACAACCATGATGAATTTCCAGCAAACACGTTCACTGTGTTGTTTACATTTTTGTGAGAGAAATACAAGGCGGTTGAAAGGAATACCTCAGTAATAGTAATAATAATAATAATAATAATAATAATAATAATAATAATAATAATAATAATAATAATAGTGATATTGTATCAGGAAATTCTATTCTGTTGTAAATAATTCATTAAATCCACATAATCTCGATGTATCCCATAAGGATGTAGATGATACAGCATATATTCATAGAGATACATCTCTTCAGGTCTAATATAATGAAATGAGACAGCATAATCACTGCAACAATCGAATCCCTGATTTCAATCAAATGGGGAGAATAAAAGTCAATGTAATGATGATGACGATAATAATAACAATAATATAACAATAATGTGGGGAGATACAGTTACAATTTGAGGTCAGCAAAGTTTGTTGAGTAACTGCACACTGAATAATAAATAGGTCAACAGAACATGATTATGCGACAATAATCTTACAATCACGAGCAACCCTCTCTAAACATTTCTACGCTACATGTGCACCTCTCATCTAGTATATGCTTGATTGTGATAGCGTTACAACAAACACAGTTAGCATTGAGCTCCAAAAGCATGTCGCGATGTTTCCTTTTAAAACTGTTGTTTTTACTTCAGAGTTATATTATTAATGTGCTTAATTTACTCAACCCCCTTCCACAAGCACCACATAAATGTATCTTCTTTAACACTACTCATTTACGTAACTGTTAACTAATATTTGTGACGTGAAATTTCGTGCCAAACTTCAATGTCGCCATCTCAAACCTCAGTGAATCAGTTATCAGACCGTCTCTGTTACAAATTAGTGAGAGTGTAGGGAATTTTTCAAAAAGTGATCTTTAACGATATTACACTCATTATTCTCGACTTCTGTTATTTCTTCGTTTGGTTTCTGTTGTCACCACCAAACAGTACGTTACAATACGTTATCCATCTACTCGTCTACCTTCTGTGTTACATAATACTACTCAGATAAATCCATCTAAAATATATATATAATGGGGACAACGTTGAAATTTGAATTATCATAATATCATTTTAGTATCTGAAGTATTCAGTAGCATTCATGACATAATGTGTGATTATGTTATGTATGGTAGGGGAAGAAGAATAATCATTGCTTTCAGAAACTAGTGTTTTGTCTGATTCTCACTCATTTGTATAGTTTAATATAGACTTGAGTGAGCATTGGAAATTATCCTGTACATAATTGATGTTGAAACTCTTGTTACATTTTCGCCAACCATAACCCTTTCCGTGGATAGCATATTTAAGTGTAGATATGTTTATTAGTAAAACTCACTGTATCTATTCTGTGGTAATTGTACTTTAGGTACCATTCTGGGTAGCCGTTTGTGTCTTTTGTAAGCATATGTGATGGAGAGAACGGATGAAAGCATTCACGTCCTTCTGCATCTAGACTATCAATTACTGAAACATTTGTAGCTTCAGCACAAGATCCTGTAATCAATGGAGGGAAAAGAAGATGTATCGAATAAGATTAGCATTGAATTGTTTCTTTTATTGTTCTCGAATTTGCAGTATGTCAAAACACATAAAATGAAGTCAACGAATAATAGTCTTTCCAGTAAGTTCTAATCAGGTTCTACGCTTTTTGGGTGGTCCAGAAAACTCGTAAAAGCCAGGAAATGCTCAGGAAACACTAAGTAGCATTTCATCCAATCACTGTTCACTAGAAGTTCCTTCACGTCAATGCAGTCGAGAGAAACGTTATACAAGGTACCAGCACGCAGAATTATCGTAATGACAACAACAAACCATCATCCTCACACTGGTTATGTGGCGTTTGGCGTTCTAAAAGGTTTTGTCCTTCTAGAAATCATCGATGTACTATGTGTTCTAGAAAAGGGCACAAAGTAAGTCATTGCAAAACCTGGAAACGCCGTTAACAGACAGTGTGTTCGAAAAGATTCAAGCCACGAACAGCTAAAGTAACGGTGGCTCTTCACAAAGCCAGCTCACATAACCGTAGAAAGTATGTTTGTCTCAAGATTAGTGGGTATGATGCCCGCTTACAGTTAGACACAGTCTCCGATATAACACTTATAAGCAGGAGAACGTGGGAGAAAAATATTGGGAGACCGCGAATATATTCAATTCATCAACCAGCACAAAGTGCATCTGGGGGAATTCTAAACATTTTTTGTGAGATTCATTGCGAAGTCACAGTCAAAGAGTTTACGGAGAAGGGAGTAATATTTTTGACAGAATGTCCACCACTCGACTTATTGGGGCTTGACTGGATAGAAATGTTGAAGTTTTAGAACCGTCCCATAAACTCAATCTGTAACAACGTCAGTACGTCAAAAGTTGAAGAGAAAAACTCAGTGGAAGCATTATTAAAACGACATAAAATGGTATTTAGTGATGGTCTTGAAGAATGTAGTAAATTTAAAGCTGTTCTTACCCTTCGAAATGAATCAAAACCAGTGTTTTGACCTAAGAGACCTGTACCATATGCTGCCTTCCCACTGGATGAACAAGAGCCACAACGACTTCAGAAATTCGGTGTCATTGAACAAGTGAATTTCTCAGAATATTGGTAGTAAAGAAAACTACTGGCAGCGTCTGTTTATATGGCGATTACTCAACTGGGCGAAATAAAGCCCTAGAAACTCATCAGTATCCCTTACCCCTACCTGAAGATCTTTTTGCTAAACTGAATGGAGGTAAGCTCTCTGCAAAGTTGGACTTATCAGAAGCTTATTTTCAAATTCCTTTTGCTAATGAGTGTAAAAATCTGCTCACCGAAAACACACACAAGGGTCTATTCCGGCATAATCGACTACCCTTCGGAGTCAAGACTTCCACATCCATATTTCAGCAAGCAATGGATAATATGCTACAGGATGTTCCAGGTGTTGCAGCTCATCTGGATGATGTAATAATTATGAGAGTAGATAGAATAGACTTGGAAAAGAAGCTCGACCAGGTGCTGTCACGATTAGTCGAATATGGAATATGACTCCATGTGGAGAAATGTAACTATTGCATGCAAAATGTACGCCTCCCTGGATTTGTAATCAACAAAGATGACAAAAGACCAGATCCAGAGAATACCTAGGCAGTGAAAATTATGCCTGGACCGACGGGTGTCCTCACACTACGATTCTTTTTGGGACTAGTTAGTCATTATAGAACTTTTATTCCTAACCTTCATCACTTACGTGCCTCCTTAAATAACCTTCTGACGGAGAATGTAAAATGGGATCGGTCCACAACTTGCCAAGCTGCTTTTGAGGAAGTCAAGAAAATACTATTCTCGGATCTGTTGCTCACCCATTACGATCCATCCTTACCCATCGTAGTAGCATCAGATGCTTCAGACTAATGGATTGGAGCAATTATGTTTGGTGATAGAATCGTTATTCCAAAAAACATTACACCACAAGGTTCTGAGACAATTCCGCTACAGTCATACCGGTATCAATAAGATGAAAGCGTTGGCTCGAAGCTATGCTTACTGGCCTACAATGGATGAAGATATCGAAACCAGATGCTGCAATTGTTCGTCGTGCCTGCAAACAGCTGAAAGTCCAAATAAATATGAACCACAACGAAAAATAGCCACAAATCCGAACTGTTTAGCTGCTTTGGAGTTCCGGAGACTTTAGTGACCGATAATGGCTCACAATCCACTGCAGAATCACTCAAGCACTTCTACAACATTAATGGAATTGTGCATATGCGCTCTCCACTCTATCACCCTCAATCAAATGGACAGGTAGAGCACTTCGTGGACACATTTAAAAGAGCACTACTGAAAGGTAAGGGCAAAAGGTAGAAGTCAGGTAATTAAGAAATTCCTAGCACATTATAGAACTACGTCAAACCCCATTGTTCCAGATGGGAATTCCCTTGCTGAAGCAATGTTCGGGAGAAGAATCCGAACTATATTCAACGCCATCTTGCCACCTAAACCAATAGATGGACGCAGATAAAATCAGAATATCCGGAGTTTTAACGTGGGTGATATAGTGCTCGTCAAGTCATACATTGGGGAAAATCGTTGGCAACCGTGAGTCATTGAGAAGAGAATAGGAAATGTTTTATACAAAGTACTTGGGACTTTAGGAACGTGGATTAGACACATTGATCAAATATACAGAGAAAACAGAACACTAAACACGGTATATAGTCGAGTGAGTCTTCTGGGAGAGATAATTACAGATGCTCCAATGGCAAGAACCTCAACAGACACTCATAGACGCTGGATACTAAGAAAATCCGAACGTCGCAGAAAACCAGTTATCAAGCTGCAAGTAGACCAGATAAAAAGTATCATTTTTCGAAAAAAGGGGAGGCGTTGAGGAGATACAGAAAATTCCTCGAAATTAAGCCAAGAAACGCTCTAAAAACACTGAGAAGCATCATATCCAATCAGCGTTCACTAGACGTTTTGCCAGAAACATCTAGAACGTGAGACGTCACATGTCGAGTTTCTGATTGGATGATTACTCATACTGCTACCATGTTCGGTAGCATTCCAGAATTTTCCAGAAACCCAAGGATATCTAAAATAATATAAAAACACTGGATTTTCTGTACATAAACGAACCTCTTGAGTAAAGTACTTCTCGTTTGTTTTGCTTCTTTTCTCTCGTGTTCAGATCGCTGTGTAGTTCTAGCTTGAGAGTTACGAGAATAGCTTAGGAACCGAATATAGCGTTTAATTAACACGACTTATCATACGCTTATACATCGTGCAAATTATAGATGCAAAAGCAATGCATGGGATCTTACAGTGATTAGTAGGACAAAACAGAATTGTTAGTTGATAAATACATATCAACTATGTACTACCAACTCCAATTATTGTGTCAACTGTAATTGTCAGAATGATAATGAGAATAGATATAGATGTCATAGTGTAAGACAACCGATGGAAACCCAACTGGAAGCAAATAACTGTTGCGTCCCACTATAAAGCTACTCTATACTGAGCACCTAGACTTCATCCAAAAATCGAATTTAATGTCTTCAGGATTTCACAAACCGTTCAGACTAATCCAAATGCATTAGGCCGTTTCCATGTCATATTCAACGATATCAATTATTATTCAAATCAGTTGTTGCATAGTCATAATACAATCACGTCACACGCAAAATTAGTATGTATACCTACCAAGTTTCACGTCTTCAGCGAATGCATGTTTATTACTTTGACAAACGGCATTATTTTCCAAACCATTAGCGATATTCAAAAGACCAGCTCGAGATAGCACATATCCTCCACCACCGGACATATATCCTTGTTTAACAAATGGCTATTTTGCAAAGAAGAAGAATGTGAAGGAAATAGAAGAATATCATGGATTAAGGAGAGTGAAAGTAACAATTTAGACGCATTATTTGTAATAACAAGTATTTGAATCTCTCAAATTCTTATACAAATTAAGGTAACACTGGGAACTACTTGGATGCTCTCTGATAGTAGAACAACTTTTCTTAACCTGAAACTATGATCTTTAGAAATTCACTTGAATTATTGACAGTTCCTGTCATGAAACGATTTGATATTCCCCGCCCCCTCCCCAACTTCAATTATCATGAAGATATTCTGTTTACATTTATGAAATAATTCCTCACTTAAGTAATAATACGCTGGGTAAGTAATCCGAGTAATCACAACATTCAGTTCTAATCATTGGTCAATCATATCCTATCTGTTAGGTAAATCAAAATCACTATAATCTTCGTTAATTATTGTGACCGAACACTGATGATTACTCCATTGATGAATGTGGTATTTAACCGGAAATAGCCTTTTCGAACGGATATAACATAAGTGTCACCAAAATCACTTGGATCAGTACCAGGATGATGGAGTGTTTTTATCAAATACTAATTATTTTGTACATACCTAACCACACAATTCCGAATTCAATACAATTCAAGTGTGTAGACTGTGTTCTCTGTGTTCAGTCCCGATCCATTCATCACTATTATACCACACACAAGTTAGATCTGGGAACTTGGATTACATTCGGTACTAACAGTGTTGCTACTATTACTACCATTACAGAATATCCTAACAAACCTAAAGAGGAAATAACAAAAAGAGAGAAGACAAACATCTTAGCAAAGTGAACTGCTTCAACTGCAATAAAAATCACGATGGACAGAGTGGCTGCCTTCTTCTTCATCATCAACAACATTAGGTGTCTGAGAAGCACCATGAGTTATCTTCGCTTATACCTATGCATGTGGACAATTGTAGACACGGATTTGATTGAGAATATGTTGAAATTTTGAGGAGAGAAAATACAAACAAAACTAGAGTTTTAAGTAAATCGGAGCAGGTCAAACAGCAATCAATAAGCATATGTGTGTTAATTCGAACATCCCATTTCCCTACGAATTTTGTCAAGATGCTGTCCAGAAAGACCACAAAATCTTCAATATTGAACTACCCATCTGGGAGAACGCTAACCCACCTAAATTTGTTTGACATTTTACTGATTTGGCCACCACAGTCACTTTAACATACTATCGGTTGATTGTATTATCTTATCACGCAAATAAATCTTCTTGTCAAAAATCAACTACTCCATAGATATGGAGATGCACAACTCACCTTGAATCGTCTGCCCATGATAAATGGTTTATCGGGATTTTCTTTATGTAAAATTTTGCGCAGATTCTCTACAATCACATATGAATCATCATCCGCCTTCATGAAGTAATCGTAATCATTGGCATAATGTTTTGCCATGTATTTTATGGCTCCAGCTGTTTTATTCCACAATAAGTTGCGACCTTCAGCATTGATAACAGCTACAATTTACGAATACATTGATATATTCGATGGTGATTGGAGTAACTAAACAGACAGATTCAATGACAATCATAAATGATAATAACCAACACGGGGAGACGGAGTTCATATGGGAAGGAACTTTCACTAACCTCTGGTGGACTTGGACTGAATGATGATAGGATTTATCTTTTTCTTAAAATTCAAACTTGGCTTAGAAGCCAGGTAATTCAGCCAATTATATACATATATATTTCGGCTCAAGTTGCCACATCACATTGGCTCAAATGTTAGGGAAAAACCAAGGGCAGTAGACATAGTAACAGTATCAGTGGTAACAAAGAAAATTAAAAATAGAAGATACGATTCGGGAAGGAAATATGAAATTATCAAAATGATTGAAAACTTCATGTGGAATTTGGGAACTTTGAATATAAGAGAAGACGAAGAATGAATGCATCTGAGTAATTGAGAACAACTTTGAGCATTGTTACTCAAAGTCTCCAACCATTGTTTACGATGATCACGCGGATCTCAGCCAGGTTGTATGCACCTAACTACATGGATTGGTTCAACATTCAATGCCTTTGTGGACTGATGCCACGTTTTGTTTATTGTCCTCCCCTGACTTTTTCCCAAGCTACTAGTTGCACCAGCCATTATTACGCATCCAGTTAGTTGGTAGTTGGACATGCATAATGCATATCCCAACAATCTCAGTCGATAGATTCATTACCTCGTCAATCGACTTCCTATAGTTACCTGGTGCTGTGCGTTCAACCTCAGAATTGTCAAATCGATGGTACAAAAATATATGAGCAATGATTTGAAGACATTGATGATCAAGACCTCGTAACCCAAGAATATCATTTATTATAAAAGGTATGTTTCTCACCCATCGAGTAGATCGGAGCGAAGTGTCGAGCAGTTGACAGACGTATATCTTGTGTGCGCCACAAGTGAAGCAAGTTGGTAAACGCCAACCGGCCTCTCTCCATCCGTGTCGAGATTCCGTCAAACACTAACCCACTAGTGTTGATGAGACTTTCAAGTGAAGTGAAGTGAAGTGGTCGACACAATCCACTATTTCACTCGCTATCGTCAAACTCAAGGTTGGCAGAAACCAGTCCTTAAGCAATATTTTGCGTTACGATGAAGTGATACGCATCACAAACACGCTCTCACTGTTGATCGATTAAGGAGGTCAAGAGACCCTGAGTGTTGTCAAGGTATTCACCAAATAAAAATATTTCATCTAAGTATTCCGAGTCAACAAATGAATCTTCTGGTAGATCAATTTATCATAATTCACACGATGATATTATTATTATTATTATTATCTCAAGAAGAACGTCTACCAATAAGTTAAATGGAAATGGAGAAAGTGGACAACCTTGAAGAACACTACTTGGAGTCATCGATTCTCATTCTCTTTCGAAGCACCATGAAAATGTAGTTTTATTGCACATTCTGCACCAAAATAGAAAAATCATTCATTTTCGACATTTCTACAAATTACAAACTGGTTATCTTTATTCTGATTGCATTATCCTTACACTATACTTTAACATCAGATATATCTATTATGAAATCCCACACAAAAGCTCTTCCTGATGCCTAATTAACGTTTTGTTCGGTGAATATATTTTTATCTGCATCAGTGTTTTTATAGTTGAGTCCAGTCTTTGTTTGTATACAGTTGTCAAAATAGTACATTACATGCATAGCTACTTGAAAAATTCACTTGTGTCAAGATCTGTATAAGTCTCGTGTAAATCGAAACACATTGGTAGTATCGATTAAAATGTTTAATTTTTTTTGTAACTGAAAACAATACGACAATATTCATTCGTCCAATGAGCTTCGAACAATATTATCTGAGTACTCTCAGTGTATATTATGATGTCTAAGATAAATCATTATTTTAAGATAACACTAATGTAATGTTTCTCGTAAAGTCAGTTATATATTGCACAACAATCTTTTCCACGTAACACTATATATCCTGTACACTTATTTTCATCTCTGCCCAATATAATGAGATATTGTGATCAGGATAGTTGGTCATATTTTTACTGAGACAGTAACTGATCAATGGAGTTGTACAAAGATCGCATCATACCATAAACGCGACCAAATCAAATTAATCAAATGCTTGACACAAAGCATCTGGGTTTCATCTTTCACCAACAATGTATCCACGATATAATTTGATCTGGATAAAGGGTTATATAGTAGAACACTGATTACTACTGCGGTGTGTGCTACTTATATTGACATAAGTTAGTAGTGTACATGTTAGCCGTGAACAGAATGTCTGGCAGCAGAGAGACAAGAGGATCGAGCAGTAAAGAATGGAAACAGAATGCAATTTGTATCAAAATGTAAGGACAATGAAGTCTGAGTCATTTTGAGACAATCGGTGGATATTTTGTAAATAAAGCATTTACTTTATGATTGCTAGATTTTATTAACAAGTCCTGTAATCTTGTGTTGAATACATTAGATTGTCTCCACTGGCGTTCTTGTTCACTACACTAATACTACTACCACTATTACATAATATCCGATCAGCGTAATCCACCTACTTTACAAAGCACTGTTGAGGAGTCCCACAATACGACGGGACGGCTGTTCCGTGCTTTCAGGTTTCCCATAGTAGTCTAGCTTCAACCGATTCATGCTCTCAACTATTGAGAGTTCTTCTAATTTTGTAAGATGGTGCAAATTCTTATTGCCTTCAAATAGTTTTATCATAATTCATTAATCTATAGCTATTCCGTGATGAAAATTTTCTTTTCGACGACATCATTTACTTATGCTGTACATTCATACTCATAGATATATGGAAAACATGTCTATAGAAGGACAGAACATAGACATATATTCTCCACATATCTATGAATATGAATGTATAGTCTAAGTAAATGATTTCAACGAAAAGAAAACTTCCATTGCTAAATGGGTTATTTTAATTACCATAACTACTTGTTATTTCAATTTATGCTTGTAAACATATGTTTGTATAAATCATATGGAAAAATAATATCAAGTGAATTTAAACTTCACCCCATTGCACAAGCAAGTGGCTATCAGAACTCAGTAGCTGAGTAGATGACGCGATGGAGTTTGAAGCGAACGGTACTGGGTTCGAGTCCCAGAGTGAATGAACTTCAACTCAGATGCAGGTATATACAGGCGACGGATCCTAAATAGGACGAAACGCGCGTCAAACTGGATTCCACTTCTGGCCACTATCTATCTTTGCTTAGAATGCTTGTGAATTAAGGCAATATCAAGGCAATACAAACAGTATGCACATGCGCCAATAACAGACTGATCAATTGCAGTGCTAAGCATCAATAAGAAGATTCAAGTAAAAACAATACCAAGTGAATTTATTCATATTGAAAGGTCTATTATCAGAATAAATATGGGTCAGATAGTGTGAGAGAAATCATAGTGCAATTACAATTCGATCAAATGTTTAGCGAAAGACTACATTGTGTAAAAAATTATTAGTAAGGATGAACGTGAAGTAAATGAATCGTGTATTGGAGAGATGAATAATGATCTTTAGCCAATAGTAGTAGTAATAATAATAACAACAGTAATTTCCACTTAACATACAAGCAGATTCAAGTCAACATTCCATATGAGTCATAAAAAACATGAACAATTTTATTCTATTTTGTTTGACAATCCTACAGTTCACATGCTTTTACTTTAAACGATGCACTTTACCCTTGACCTGAATATTTTTCGGATTAATAATTTGAATATATGGATTGTAGAACCTGAAGAGAATCTATCGAAAACAATATTCTTCGTTCATAGATTAGTCTTCTTAACATGATGGGGATCTTTAGACAATAAATATGTTTGTATGCTTTGATCTCATTTACAATAAAAAACAACGATTATAGGCTAGAATCATTGATTCAAGAGGACAGGCAAACACTAGAGATTGAACGTTCTTACCAGGGTTTGTAAATGGTATGTTGTGTTCTCCAAAGTGCAATAAAACGTCATGGTGGAATTTAAAAATTGTAATCTTTCCGTATTTAGTTTACAGCTTAAAGTAAACACTCCTTTCTCAAATAGCTAGATGAGTAGACATATAAGACATTTAGGAATGGAACCAAATGTCCCTGTATTTTCTAATGAATACAGTATTCTCAGAAGCTTCAATTTAAACACGAGTCTAATTATGAGGTAATGTAGTGTATTCAATGCTCTCAGAGTAAATAGTAGAACCTTAAATGTTACACAAGATTTAACGTGGGTTTCTACTGATCTAGTCATTAATCATTTTCGTTCTAAATTGGATTAGTGTCGATAATGTGTTACACATTAATTACTACGGTTTGACTTGACAATCAATGCTGGCTGGTGCAGGAGGAGGTTGCATAAAATAAGGGGTGGAAAGACCGGGACGAGGATTCAATCACGGAAGTCAGTGAATGTTGATATGAGTCACATTAGTAAGTCCAATTTACCGGCTTAGTGTTCCTGGGATAATCATTTACAACATTTGGAGACGTTGAGTGGTATGACTCGGAATCTAATGCATTAAGACAGATGTATGCATTTTAATAATATTTCCTTTGATTTTGAATTCCAATACTTCTCCATAATTTTCATTGCACCAAATAATCCCCTTTTGGAGATTATTTTCTTGATGCTTACTATCACTGATATTACTATCGTTTCGACTGTTTCGTTATCTAGTCTGGTCATATAGGTCACAAAAACATGAAACAGTAATAATAATAATAATAATAATAATAATAATAATAATAATAATAATAATAATAATAACGATTCTGGCAACTGGACAATCAGTGACTTACCTATTGAAGGAAGATGCGAATCAGTTTCACTACTAATGAATAAATAGTTATTACATCGACCAGCCCACGTAGCTTTCACATGAACAGCTTTTGATTTATGATTTGCTGGCATTGTTAGTATCCAACAGAACACACGTACTTGTTTAGCCAATACGTTAGCCAATGTTGCCTCGGCTACAGGTAGGAAGGAAAGTATACAAGAATAGAAACAATGTAGATTCGTCTAATTCTTCCTCTAAGACGAGGAGAATTAATTTGACATTCGAGACTGCGAACTGACACCGTTTGTCTGAATAAAGTAAGTCAATTCGCATAAACAGAGAAATTGACTGACTGACTTAGTAGTCAAGAAACTTAACTAAAACAATGAGAACAATTAAAACAATGTTCACTGAAAATGCAGTTAATGCATCTGTATCACATGAGCTGACATATACTCCTTAGTAAGAGTCTTGAATCTACAAATCTCGTGTTATACTGACCACATTTCGAAGGTACCCGTTCACTTACACAACTTATGAAAAGAGTTAGTTACTTCACAGATCAACACAAGTTCAACATAGTGAAACAGATGTTGTGCATTGATTCACACTCAATAGCAACACACCTAGTGAATTGGAAATCCGAAAAGAACTTAAATGTATAGACGAGACAAGACATCCTCCCGGAATACTCTACTTGAATTTTTATCAGAATGGAGACGACATATTTGTGACGCGATTGGCCAAGCTGAAACGAAGAGAAGAAATAATGAAAATTTTAAACATGTCTCTACCTCTAAGACTCAGTGTTTGAACAGCTCATCATCAGAAGTTAGGTGGTACAGTTGAACCACCACAATAAACATGACATAGACCTCCAAATCCTGGCTGTCAGAAAAGTAAAAACGTATATCGAAAAAATGAAAACTCAACCAAATCTAAGGAAACAATTTGAAGCTCATCATATTTTCGAAGATATGCTGAAAATACTGGATCTAGATGAGGGTAAATTATTGAAAATTTCAACAGTATGGAGAATGAAACAAGCTAACTTGTTTCAAATGAGGTCCATTCCACTCTATGAGCTATCGATCAGATATTCCACTTTTTGGGATTTTACTTATATTGTGCATGGATCATTTTCCGAAGTTCTTAAATTCGAACTACTCTGTCGGTACTGTCATTTCTCCTGTGTCATCTGCCATATCATTTGATTATGAAACTGTTTCATTACAAGTAATAAATATCATCAATCCTGGAAAACCGAAATTTCTCAAACATTTCTAATCCATTAATTCATAAATCAACACACTCTCTAGATGTAACCACAACATTGCAACTCATCACAGAGTAAGGCAGTCAATTTGTTCTTCATCTCCATGAATATTTGCAAAACCATCAGCTAGCACATGTATTCAGCCAAAGGTTCCACACCCACCCAAAACATTTCTCACTTGATTAACTCATCAAAATTTTCACGGTGCGCTCACGAAATTTGTGTTGAACACGATCCACTAGTTCGAATTCTCTATCTTCCACGTTTATACATCAATGCCATCACTAAAATCATTCCTGTATAGATTCCATGTCGTATTTCGGTTAATGTCAATTCCAATAAACCTCATCACACTGTACTAACATGTGTAGTTAGCAAGCATGTTTCGGTTTCATTTGAAGACACACGCCATCACATCATAAATATTCCTCAAAATATTGGTGATCACTAAATGCTATATTCCAACTTCATGAATAAACAATGGAGCATTCATTATGAAATTGATTGATTCTGAACTCCATTCTGTTTACATTTTATTTGAGATAACACTAATGAGGATAATAGATAACCGTGTACTCTGTGTTAGCCAACCACTCTCATTGGCTAATATTTATTCATAGGAAATAGCTTTGAAATCTTGTAGACACCACAATGTTCAATTTTCATATTTGAATAGACAGAACACAAGATATGACAGCACTACCTGTGAGAAATGCACCCAGTTTCGTATTCCTGCTATTTTCACACCGTACATTCAACTCCGTTATAGAGAAACGACTGACTACATTATGGTGAAAGTACGTAAATTATGATGATCAGTCTACAGATAATCCAACTGCTTTCATTTCTAAACCAGTGAAATGTCTTCAACTGTGAATGGGAAGTTAGTAAATAAATAACAATGGCTGATCGTAATCACGATAATCTCTCTTGTTTCTTTGATACCAATGCCATTTTTATGCTGTATTCGTTCGCTGATTAAGAAATAGGTTAAGTGAATTCCTGAGGTTTCCGGTGAAACATAGGAAAGACTTTGAGGAAATTGTTGAGACGTGGAGGGTTCTTTATGGAGCTAAAACTGAAGGGAACAAGTTGTTTCCAATAGATGAAAACCCTCTGTGTGGCTGTCAATACTAAAACGATGATGAGAGCTTAACACTTTCATCGAATACCTATGTTGATAAAATTCACAAAAGTGTGTATTGTTTCCAGCTTTTACGTTTCCAATTCACTTTCTGGATGAATTATGTGAGTATGAGTTTGAGAAAGTTCTCTATTTATTTGGTCCAACAGAGTCACTTAGGACAGATAGAGTAAAATTTGAAACGATGAGACGACTGAAGGGTCTGAATTCAGAGAGGTGCATAAATGTTTTCAACAGTAGAAGGTAATACAGGCCAAATGCGTTTCTACAAATGGGAACTATCTCGAAAATGGATAAGATTGATGTACGACAAACCATCCACTCAACTCGCCTACTTACTTAGTAAAGACACTGGTGACTGAAAAAAATGATTCACATTTATAACGACTCAGTTCGTTAATATTTAGCTAGAATTCGGAAACTACAGTCTGAATCATAGATGGATATTTCGAGTATTGCTTCAACTGAAAGCAATTTTTAGAATAATCATTGAAACCATTAATAACAACTGTGGTTTCCCACTTCAAATCAAAACCAATGCACTTACCTAAATGTTGTAATGCATGTTCGTGTATTGAATCGTTCGAAAGAACTGTAATTTTCAGGGGAACACGATAAAGAAATTGATAGTCATTTTAAGTTAAATCTAACCTACTCAACTGTTTATATGTATTATCGCTTGTTGTCAATTTCGGTGACTTGGCTGCAAACAGTGCTGCTGTATACAAATCCTCTTCATGTTGTACATAGTAGAGGTGGACAATTAGTCCTCCACCAAGCATACCGATCGTGTATATAAGAAGCATACGAAAGAATGGTGATAATTGCATAAAGACTCGAAATTCCTAAGATCAAAATGAGAGAGCGTTAGTACCAACTAACAGAATTTACTTTTGAATACAATTCCAATCAGAGAATTGTTATGGAAGCATCATAATCATATCACTGTTTCATCTGATGTAACAAATAAGTGGTAAACTTTATTCGTGTTTATGTTTGTATGCCTGAGTACCATGTGGTTCAGTAAATTCCTAAACGTCCTTTCCAATGTCATACTTGTTTACTACAATACCATTTAATTGGATCCATTCGACTTTGGTGAATAGAGGAGTTTGATTTTGTGTATTTCCCATGGGAAATTTACTACAACGATTTCACCGTTATTATGTAGACGTATGAGGATTAATAGACCAAATTCAGAACAGAATGTGTCCACATATATACATTTGATTGCAACATTGATTGATATCAATATGAATCTCTGAGTTAGTATAAATTTTTGCCGAAATCGTGTTCACATATAATTGACGATTGTTAGTCAACTTCAACATTCGGTTCATTAAATTAATATGTCGCATACATTAATTGTCAAATTGAATCTCTCGACTCCAAGTTGGATAAGTAGCAATTAGGAATAGAATGTTCGTTTCATCACTATCTAACTTGTGTAAAGCGGACGTTTTTGATACACGGCACAGAAATTATCATAAATCACTAATAATTATCTATGGACGTGTTACAGAACCCTTTGACCTCTGCCTTTCTCCAAATGCATCTCGTCAACAAATTTCAATAATAATATCTAATAGACCAGATGATTTTAACACCATTCTTGAAGCGTAGGATCGAGATGTAGTTTGGCAATTCCCAAACGAATGCAAAACCTTTTTCTAATGCTTTCTGAATTATCTATGTTTCACCTCACTGATGTCATATCGTGACGTAAACCAAGTTGAAACTAAACATATCGACATAATGAACTCATTTAAGTAATCATTATGTCTCCATCAATGATTAGTTTCAAATGGATTCCATATATCCTATACAAACTCTATTGTGTGGGGTCGTGATCGTTCAGTTGTGCTGTATATATATATAATTTAACTATTGTAAAAAATACAACTGAAATAATCACTTAGTCAATAAAATAGGGATCATCGAAGTAAATTGTATTTAAAATTCCGAATGAATGATTAGCTGGGGATTTTAGTTTGGTTTTTTATAAACCAATGGTCTGATGTATCTACTTCCTCTTCAATAAACGGCTTCCCTAACTTTTAAATTTCTAATCATGACTTGATTCGTCCCATGTTCAATCGAATTATGATTAACATGAGTTAAGAGATACACAGTTGATTGAGTGGTGATTATCAGATTGGATAATTCAAGTATTTGTATTAATCAGGCAAATTGAATGTAGTAGAAAAAAAGCACAACTACTAAATACGCAATAGATAAAATGAACTGTTATCCCCATGGAGACGTTGTAAAAGATACATCTTTTTACGACCCATATCTTGAAAAAGAATACAGACTGAATACCACAGATTAAGCAAAGTGAGGGATTAGTCTTTGAGTTACTAATGTTTACCAAGGTACTGGATAGTTTTATATCCAAAATGAATGTAGGTATCTCAAAAAAAGTGTATGAGAAGTTTACTATGAAAAAATAATTAAAACATTCAGCAGACTATATTTTCAATTTCATTGTTTCTTCTGTCAAGCGTTCTTTAATGGTTGCTCATTTGTATAGGAGGAAGTTAGCTTGCGACTAAAGTCTACTAAATAAGGTCTCAATCATGTTTAATCTTTGGACGCCCTATACTTTTGCACAATAATTCACTAGTTAGTAGCAACCGTTGTCATGTCGATTCGTTGGTGCTAATTAAATTCCATTCAATACATTTCAAGAGCGAAAATAGGGATAAAACATACTTTCCAGTAGGTCCATAAATTCCTTAGTTTGATTCTCGGAATATCAGTTATAGTTTTAGATTACTCGGTAAAAAAGCGGAGAGAGTATCATTTATGGACGAACCAATCAGGTATAAGATAACGAGTCACGAGTTTTGGCGCGAAATTCATGCATTCTTTTGGCTAAATAGAGTTTATGTCAGTTCGTGATGAAAACTTTAGATCTAATTTTCAACCGTAACCATCAACTGTAAATGTTAATTCTACTGCTTTATAATCTTCATTTCGTACTGATCAGTAGGTGTCCACCTTCTAGGTCACTTCATCGTCACTCAAAGGTTGTCCATAAATTATAGACTCATCAAAGAAAACCACTAAGCTATTCAAATTGTATGTATCGAAACGAATTCCTAATTAATTCACACTGCCATTGGTATGAGTTAAATGATAACAAAGAGTATGTTCTTTTTGATATTATGGAAATCCGATACGGTATTACTTAATTCAGTCTTATTAATCGGGAGAACTCGTAAGCATGGTCCATAGCATTCGATCTGCACTAATAAGGACTTGACACATATGATATTGATCACCACCCAGTGATCAATCAATTGTGATTACATCTCAGTCCTACAGGAGTTCGGTCCCGGCCCGGATAGCTGAGTAGTGACGTCTTCGACTGTGAAGCTAGGTGACACGGTATCAAATCCGTCAGGGAGTACCAGTTCTCTCAAGACAACAGGTACACCTTGTTGACGAGTGCCAAATTGCACGAAACTCGAGTCCAGGGTGTCCTGTCGACTACATCCAACCACCATCTAATCACAACTCGTAAGTATAATTATTAATTTGAAAGTATAATTCCAATGATACCAATGATACAACATTTCATACATAAAGATTATGATTGTATTTTACAACAAGGTACTAACAAAAACAACTAACTTGTATGAAACAATATGAATCGTTAAAACTCCTTTCATCTAAATGGGTAAAATTATTGTCTTATTTCTTTCCACTATCTATCACTTCTTGTTTAACCAATTAAAATAGAGTTTAACATTTTACATTGTGATTGGTTTATTTTACTTAAATTCGATCGTAAATGGAGAAGATTTATTGGTTGAAAATGAAAATATTGACCAGTTATTAGTATTAAATACACACATATAAAATCGACAAAATATTAATACCAAGCAAGGTTGGATCAATAATTTGAGTGGTAACAATCGATTACTTCATTTTCAATCTGTTGCTAATGCTCAATTGTGTTATTTAACAACAAAATATTTCATGAATAAACAAAAATTGTTTATTCATTAAAAGAAGATCACTTTAAAATATATCACATAAATATGATAGTGAACATTTATATTATTTCGATAATACAAGACGAAGAAGACACAGTTTATTAGAATAATGTGATGATATCTTTGCACAATTTGACTGCACACACACACACACATGGTATACTTGTTAAGACATTTTGATATGAAAACTAAAAGGTCAGTTAGATAAATGAAAAGTAAACCGTAATAAAGAAATAATAATAATAGAGTACACAAAAACAACGTGATAACTATACTAGATAATAAATCAGTATTACCAGGGTAGGTTAAATGTAAAGACAAATCGTTTTTGTACGTATAAAGGGGATAATCGAAATCATTTCGAGTGATTTGTCGTATACGTCCATCATTTCCCAACAGAGTTCTTTCCCGTCTCTTACATATAGCTGAAGCTAAAGGATTTCGTACATTTAACCCCAATTTATGTGTAGAGAAGAAATTCGTGACCCCTTATCTCTTCTATGGCCGAATATAACTTAACAAATGACTTTTTTTAAATTTAATTTATGTTACCATTAGCATTATTTTCACAACTGGTATTTATTTGTAACTTTCCACGTCTTTCCGTTTGTATTCTTCACTATCTAATTATTTACACACTTATTACGTAATGATCTTAGTGTTTTGTAATGATTATTTTAAGTTTCCGTATAGCCAAGGCTTCAACAAACCTTAGTATACGTCATTTTTAAGGCTTTTGTACAACACTGCGAAATTCTGACTTGATGTCAACCTTATGACTAGTCTCAATCAAATGTTTCACAATGGAGGATTATATCTATCTATCCTATGATCTGATTTGACCATTGGAAGTATATATATGTAATCAGATTGTCTGAAATGTATTGCGCAATTATATCACATAATTCTGATAAACTTTGTCTTCTCATTGCATTATCGAAATTCATCAAAGGGACTAATTAATTGTTTCAAATTTCTGAAAAGAAGACTCCCTACACAGATTATTAAAAGGTTAGATGAACTTGTTAACCTTATGAACATATATATATACATTCCTTCGCAAGGTAGGTAGAAACGCCACAAAGTAGCACGTTTTTGTTACCTTTACAATATTAACATCATACACATAAGGAAACCTGAACTATGGGTTCAAAATGACTTTTTCAACAACTTTTTTTTCTAAATTGTGATTCACAGTTTTCACAAACTATCTCTCTCTCTATTGTCCTAGAACTTATCATTCTACTTTTCGAGGCATTTTTTTTAAAATTGCATCGTATGATGAGATTCCTTAACAAAACTATTCACTTTTGGCTGGTTTATATGGTCTTCCCTATTAATTTTTCAGATGTTAACAATTTCGTGTTGACTCACAAAATAAGAAAGATGGAATTGTGTACTTTGGTTTGTTTTGTTTGTATATGACTGTGATTATTTATTGTTATAAAATACACATACTGTGAGTTTTTATTTATAATGTATACGATATATACCATGCGGCTTCGAGAATGAGTTTTACAAAAAAATTCTCTTCATTGAATCACTCACTCTCGGTTCCAAATAAAAAAGTTTATATCCATCCTCCATATAGAGGTGAATCCAATAGTTTAGTTTTAAGACAGAGATTGAAAGCAGCCATAGAGAAAACCTATTATGCTGCTCAATTGGTTGTGATTGAAAAGTCTAAGCCCATGATTCCAAATAGACCTAGACAATGGACAAATGAATACTTTACATCTGATTGTATTTACCACTTTACATGTTTGTTTGGACACACATACATAAGGAGGAGTAATCGAACAATGCAATCAAGGGGTCATTGAATATGTGACTAGATGGCTTCAAAACCAATTAGTGTCAAGTGATCCGATAGGAGGTAGAAAACCATGTTCATCGATAGCGAAATGTATAATTGAAACGGGGCACAAAATTGACATTAATACAAATTGTCAAGGACGAATTCTCAAGTCTACTGAAGCCTTGGCTATTCGTAAATTTAATTCCTCTCCCTTATGTGTACAAATGCAATTTGTCGTAACCTTGAATTTACCCTGGTAATCCTCAAGTCATTCTATGGCCTAAGATAACGCGACATTTTCTTATTCTTTCTCTCCCCTTTGTTACTTTTTTACTTGAACTTTCATTTAATTGACCTTTATTAATTTTCATATAAAATGCCCTGATAAATATATGTGTGACCAGATTGTTCGAAATGTAAAGCGTAAATACATCACATTTCTCAGATCAACTCCGTCTTCTCATTGTTCTATTGGAATATTTTGTAGTTTGTCATCCACAGTGGCATACGTAGTTTCTGGTTCCCATCTAGAATTTAGAAGTGAAGAATAGAGAGAAAGATATGTATTTTCAATGAGTTTTCATCATAGTTCTATATTACTATAAATATGTTTAACAAATGATAATAAAATATACCGGTCAATTGGTGGTCTATGAGTTATCAACATTACACATTAAAACTTTCATGACTGATTAACGAAACAATCAAAAGATGGACTGCATAAAGTGATGAATATTCAGAGGTATTAGTAATAAATGAACGAACTGGAATGTGGTTTAACAATTGGAAACAAGTTAATTGATAAATAGTCGCAAGTCCAATATTATTAACAGTAGCTTAATAATTAACCAAATCCAACTACAGCCACTACTAGGCTAATGACTGTCATACACGTGGGAAAATGAAAAAAAGTTGGGCGTAAGCTTACCAACCCTACAAGGCCGACGCCCTTTTTGAAAACGAGGACAACAATAAATATCGGGACATTTAATGTTCAAACAAGGTTAGAAACAATGAAAGGTCATTCAGATAGCCACATACTTAAGAACAAACAACTTGGTTATGTTTTTAATAAGCGAAACTCGTCAGATACAATCTGAACAGAGAAGACTGACTTCTCAAGATATGTTGTTGCGTTGAAGTCATGAAGAATAAAGTGTACACGCTAAGCAAAACTTGTACTGATGCTCTCCAAAAACGAACCAAAGGAGTTTATAGGATGAGTTCCACGTCGGAAATATTACCAGAGCATTCTCGAAAATAAGGGAAACATTACAATGAGTGTTACCCAGCGTTTTGCATTCATCAATGATGGTAATGAAAAATGTAAAGACCAGCTTAATATGAGACCGCAATCTATACTTTATAAATGCCCAGAAAAATGCTTGGCCATTCAGATGAGTGATCTAGATGAACAACATTAACCATAAACTCATTATGGGGTGATATGGACTGGGAGAGAGAGAGACAAGAACGATGACAGACTGACATATATTTATGTTCTTCCAATAACATGATGAGTGGAAAAGGAATAGGTGAGCACAGCACTACGAACAGCTTTTGAATAGACCAGTGTCCATTAACTCAACAAACGTCGAAGTAGTATGTATAGATGACACCCCCAACAACAACAGAATAAGTTAAAAAGCAGATCAGAAAAATCACAAACGGAAAAACAAGTGGATCAGCAAGTCATGAAAGGTAACTGTGGAAGGACCATATGATATCATCAAGAAGCTGGTACTGAAATATGATATGAGCTACATTCTTGGATTGCTTAGTAAAAAGAAATCTAAATGGAATTCTAAATCTATCCATCTACCAAAAACTTACACACTCAAGTCGCTATATTGACTTCCATTCAGCACATCCTTTCAGTGCTAATATCTCGCTAGCCTTAAATCTTTTTAGAAGAGCTAACAAGATCATCACATCAGAAGAAGACAAACAGAAAGAACAAAAGAATGTAATTAGTATCTTACAACTTAATAATTCTCCTATGAAGATTATCAGAACTATGCGTACAAAAGAAATACGTCTTATCGTTATCGTTACCTTGGCCTTAATTATTTTGATTATCCTATTATTATTATTATTATTATTATTATTATTATTATTATTATTATTATTATTATTACTGCATTCCCCCCCTCTACTTATGTCTTATATTCTCATTGTTTTATTCGTAAATGCTCATCATATCACCTTATTTATTATTTTTTACACCTCTATGACCTTTAATTATTATGACAAAAAGCATTTTAATCATCTTATTATATTCACTAAATCTATTGTTATTTATCAGTATAGGGGTTGTGGAGATAGTTAAGTTTTTGATTGAGATCATAAATCAATTGATGTTAGACCACCGTTGGAAACCTGGAAGCACTGGACGGCCGTTTCGTCCTAGTATGGGACTCCTCAGCAGTGCGCATCCACGATCCCGCTCCCCGCGAGATTCGAACCGAGGACCTATCGGTCTCGCGCCAGGCGCTTAACCAACTAGACCAATGAGCCGGCATCCAATGGTGGAGCTAATCCGTGTCGGGTAGAGACAGGTATCTACCTCAGTACAATGGAAGTCGGTCGCGTAATTTCGTGGATTGGTTGATGTTAGAAACTAACACCATTGGATGCCGGTTCAGTGGTCTAGTTGGTTAAGCGCCTGGAGCGAGACCGACAGGTCCTGGGTTCGGATCTCGCGGGGAGCGGGATCGTGGATGCGCACTGCTGAGGAGTCCCATACTAGGACGAAACGGCCGTCCAGTGCTTCCAGGTTTCCAACGGTGGTCTAACATCAATTGATTCATGATCTCAATCTATTGTTATTGTTATTATTCATATTACGTAATCTAGTATTATAACCTTTTTATTA